ATCAGTGGTCCTGATACACACTGACACAAGATCAGAATAAGGAATATTACTAACACTTAGGGTCCTTGGCAGATATGGATTGACACCTGTCCTAAGGATCCCTGATACACACTGACACAGAGCAGAATAGGGAATGTTACCCCAACATCGGGTCACTTGGCAGATATGGATTGACACATTAACATCTACATAAGTGTAAAGCGCATATCTCGCCCGACCTATTGGCAACCCTTAAAGGCACAGTCTCTAGTTATTGTCCAAGTGGCTAGGTTTGCCACAGTTATATTATGGGGTATTATTACAGTATTATCCTGTCAGTGCCAGTGTATGTTATATTATGAGGTATTATTACAGTATAACCCTATCAGTGCCAGTGTATGTTATATTATGGGGTATTATTACAGTATTATCCTGTCAGTGCCAGTGTATGTTATATTATGAGGTATTATTACAGTATTATCCTGTCAGTGCCAGTGTATGTTATATTATGGGGTATTATTACAGTATTATCCTGTCAGTGCCAGTGTATGTTATATTATGGGGTATTATTACAGTATTATCCTGTCAGTGCCAGTGTATGTTATATTATGGGGTATTATTACAGTATAACCCTATCAGTGCCAGTGTATGTTATATTATGGGGTATTATTACAGTATTATCCTGTCAGTGCCAGTGTATGTTATATTATGAGGTATTATTACAGTATTATCCTGTCAGTGCCAGTGTATGTTATATTATGAGGTATTATTACAGTGTAACCCTATCGGTGCCAGTGTATGTTATATTATGAGGTATTATTACACTGTAACCCTATCAGTGCCAGTGTATGTTATATTATGGGGTATTATTACACTGTAACCCTATCAGTGCCAGTGTATGTTATATTATGGGGTATTATTACACTGTAACCCTATCAGTGCCAGTGTATGTTATATTATGGGGTATTATTACAGTATTATCAGTGCCAGTGTATGTTATATTATGAGGTATTATTACAGTATAACCCTGTCAGTGCCAGTGTATGTTATATTATGAGGTATTATTACAGTATTATCCTGTCAGTGCCAGTGTATGTTATATTATGAGGTATTATTACAGTGTAACCCTATCAGTGCCAGTGTATGTTATATTATGGGGTATTATTACAGTATAACCCTATCAGTGCCAGTGTATGTTATATTATGAGGTATTATTACAGTATTATCCTGTCAGTGCCAGTGTATGTTATATTATGAGGTATTATTACAGTGTAACCCTATCAGTGCCAGTGTATGTTATATTATGAGGTATTATTACAGTATAACCCTATCAGTGCCAGTGTATGTTATATTATGGGGTATTATTACAGTGTAACCCTGTCAGTGCTAGTGTATGTTATATTATGGGGTATTATTACAGTGTAACCCTATCAGTGCCAGTGTATGTTATATTATGGGGTATTATTACAGTATAACCCTATCAGTGCCAGTGTATGTTATATTATGGGGTATTATTACAGTATAACCCTATCAGTGCCAGTGTATGTTATATTATGGGGTATTATTACAGTGTAACCCTATCAGTGCCAGTGTATGTTATATTATGAGGTATTATTACACTGTAACCCTATCAGTGCCAGTGTATGTTATATTATGGGGTATTATTACACTGTAACCCTATCAGTGCCAGTGTATGTTATATTATGGGGTATTATTACACTGTAACCCTATCAGTGCCAGTGTATGTTATATTGTGGGGTATTATTACAGTGTAACCCTATCAGTGCCAGTGTATGTTATATTATGGGGTATTATTACAGTGTAACCCTATCAGTGCCAGTGTATGTTATATTATGAGGTATTATTACAGTATAACCCTATCAGTGCCACTGTATGTTATATTATGAGGTATTATTACAGTGTAACCCTATCAGTGCCAGTGTATGTTATATTATGAGGTGTTATTACAGTGTAACCCTATCAGTGCCAGTGTATGTTATATTATGAGGTGTTATTACAGTGTAACCCTAGTGTATGTTATATTATGAGGTATTATTACACTGTAACCCTATCAGTGCCAGTGTATGTTATATTATGAGGTATTATTACACTGTAACCCTATCAGTGCCAGTGTATGTTATATTATGAGGTATTATTACACTGTAACCCTATCAGTGCCAGTGTATGTTATATTATGGGGTATTATTACAGTGTAACCCTATCAGTGCCAGTGTATGTTATATTATGGGGTATTATTACACTGTAACCCTATCAGTGCCAGTGTATGTTATATTGTCACAGTTGAACCCAAGCCTCTCCATTAACAGTTTTGAGAGTGACGTCATCCCAGGGCGTGTCAAGTGGGCGTGCCACATCGGGAAGGCGGTGCTTTCTTTGCACGATCCCGCCTTCCGTCCAATGGCAGAGTCGGATTTTGCGTGACGTCACCAGAGCGATGCGGTAGTATTTATAGCTCGTATTTAAAGAGCCCCTGGGAGTCTCCGGCTGCGCGGCCTGAGCTCCGGGCCTATAGAGAGGGTCACCGCTATACCGCTCCCAGCCTGAACGACGGCCCTAGAGAGAGGGACCCCGCTATACCGCTCCCAGTGAACGCCGGGCCTAGAGAGAGGGACCCCACTATACCGCTGCCAGCCTGAACGCCGGGCCTAGAGAGAGGGACCCCGCTTCCAGCCTGAACTCTTGGCCTAGAGTGAGGGACCCCGCTATACCGCTCCCAGTCCGGGCCTAGAGAGAGGGACCCCGCTATACCGCTCCCAGTCCGGGCCTAGAGAGAGGGACCCCGCTATACCGCTCCCAGTCCGGGCCTAGAGAGAGGGACCCCGCTATACCGCTCCCAGTCCGGGCCTAGAGAGAGGGACCCCGCTATACCGCTCCCAGTCCGGGCCTAGAGAGAGGGACCCCGCTATACCGCTCCCAGTCCGGGCCCAGAGAGAGGGACCCCGCTATACCGCTCCCAGTCCGGGCCCAGAGAGAGGGACCCCGCTATACCGCTCCCAGTCCGGGCCCAGAGAGAGGGACCCCGCTATACCGCTCCCAGTCCGGGCCCAGAGAGAGGGACCCCGCTATACCGCTCCCAGTCCGGGCCCAGAGAGAGGGACCCCGCTATACCGCTCCCAGTCCGGGCCTAGAGAGAGGGACCCCGCTATACCGCTCCCTGTCCGGGCCTAGAGCGAGGGCCTAATTCCGGATACCAGAGTCCTTTCGGGCAACAATCCTACCTCTTCCCAGCCAGCTCTGGCCGACATGCAGTTACCGTGAGCCTCTGAACGGTGAGAAGGGGGGGACGGGACGGAGATAGGCGTTCATAGGGGCCCAGTGTCTTCTCTGGGGACAAAGAGTGAGATATAGAGCCCAGTATTGATGGTTTCAGAGTGAGTGACCCAGCAGTGATGGGCTGTCCAGGCGATACCTAGAGGTGAGATTTAGGGGCCCAGCAGGGATGGTCTGTCCAGGTGGTACCTAGGGGTGAGATTGAGGGGCCCAGCAGTGATGGGGTGTCCAGGCGGCACCAATGGGTGAGAGTGAGGGGTCCAGCAGTACCTAGGGGGGAGAGTGAGTGACCCAGCAGTGATGGTGTGTTCTGGCAGCACCAATGGGTGAGATTGAGGGACCCGGCAGTGATGGGGTATCCAGGCGGTACCTAGGGGTGAGATTGAGGGGCCCAGCAGGGATGGGGTGTTCTGGCAGCACCAATGGGTGAGATTGAGGGACCCAGCAGTGATGGGGTGTCCAGGTGGTACCTAGGGGTGAGAGTAAGTGACCCAGCCGGGATGGGGTGTTCTGGCAGCACCAATGGGTGAGATTGAGGGACCCAGCAGTGATGGGGTGTCCAGGTGGTATCTAGGGGTGAGATTGAGGGGCCCAGCAGGGATGGGGTGTCCAGGTGGTATCTAGGGGTGAGATTGAGGGGCCCAGCAGGGATGGGGTGTCCAGGTGGTATCTAGGGGTGAGATTGAGGGGCCCAGCAGGGATGGGGTGTCCAGGTGGTACCTAGGGGTGAGATTGAGGGGCCCAGCAGTGATGGGGTGTCCAGGCGGCACCAATGGGTGAGAGTGAGGGGCCCAGTAGTACCTAGGGGTGAGAGTAAGTGACCCAGCAGTGATGGTGTGTTCTGGCAGCACCAATGGGTGAGATTGAGGGACCCAGCAGTGATGGGGTGTCTAGGCGGTACCTAGGGGTGAGATTGAGGGACTCAGTATTGATGGGGATATAGTATTAGGGGGCCAACCTTTAAGGTGTTACTGGACAGTTAGCGGTGTGTTGTAAGGGTCCTGTAGAGATTCATCGTTAGAGCTGGAATGTTGGGAACATGCTTTGAGTGGGTTTGTGTGGAGGCAGCTTGTGGTGGCTTTGTAGGGCCCAGTTTTTTAAGAGTTCTATGGGAGCTAGGGCTGGGATGTGGGGGTTCCCTGCAAGCCAATGGTGAGAGGTGGCTGGAATTGTGGAGGGTGCATGATTTACACAAGTCTTACCAGTACAGAGGTCAGTCACTTAGACCTTACACAGCTGAAAAGAGACTTGCGTCCATCAAGTTCAGCCTACCTCACATTTGTTTTTTGCTGTTGATCCAAAAGAAGGCAAAAAACAGTTTGAAACACAATTTTGCAACAAGCTAGAAAAAAAAATTCCTTTTTGACCCCAGAATGGCAGTCAGATTTATCCTTGGATCAAGCAGTTATTACCCTACATTGAAAGATTATATCCTTGAATATTCTGTTTTTGCAAGTATGCATCTAGTAGCTGTTTGAACATCTGTATGGACTCTGATAAAACCACTTCTTCAGGCAGAGAATTCCACATCCTGATTGTTTTTACAGTAAAAAAAACCTTCCCTTTGCCTTCTCTTACATTATTTCAATACACTGAGTTTATACTGTTCTGGACCAAAACAAGTATTTGCTTGAATATCTGCCCCTGTCCAAATGTTTTAAATGTAATAAAAAGTGTGCACACCAAAGAAATCGCACACACAGAAAAGTTGTTAAATGAAAACTTCCACATGTATTGTCAGGGGGGCTGGTAGCCCCTTAAAAAGGCAAAAGATTGCAATGTGTGCAAATACAGAAAGCAAAACTTTTCAGTTGGGTAAGGGTTAGATATTAGTAAAACTAAACATTTAATTGGTTAGGTCTTAAAGGACCACTATAGTGCCAGGAAAACATACTCGTTTTCCTGGCACTATAGTGCCCTGAGGGTGCCCCCACCCTCAGGGACCCCCTCCCGCCCGGCTCTGGAAGGGGAAAGGGGTAAAAACTTACCTTTTTCCAGCGCTGGGCGGAGAGCTCTCTCCTCCGATCCTCCTCCGCCCGGCTGAATGCGCACGCGCGGCAAGAGCTGCGCGCGCATTCAGCCGGGATCACTGAAAGCATTTACAATGCTTTCCTAGTGCTCTCACTGTGAAAATCACAGTGAGAAGCACGCAAGCGCCTCTAGTGGCTGTCATGAGACAGCCACTAGAGGATTAGGGGGAAGGCTTAACCCATTCATAATTATAGCAGTTTCTCTGAAACTGCTATAATTATGAAAAAATGGGTTAACCCTAGAAGGACCTGGCACCCAGACCACTTCATTAAGCTGAAGTGGTCTGGGTGCCTAGAGTGGTCCTTTAAGTGTTTTTTATCTTGATGTACTTCCTCCAAGGTGTGATGTCATCATTGTCTTTGCGTGTAGCTCCGGATGGAGATGCCATCTTGCTACACAAGGGTCTTAGTCGATGGGAGGGGGTACTCTAGCAGCCATTTTGAGTAATAAATGAACACATGTACACATAGTAAATAGACATTTTACACACATTTAATTTCTATCCATCACAATACTAGTTTCTTAACACCAACTATGTGACTCTCAGTAAGCTGTTCTATGTAGACGTTTGTATTACACTTGGATCTGAATGGTTCGGTAGCCTTGCAAGGTTAAGGAGTATTTTTATTTCACATATATTTAGCCTTTGCCGTGCATTCCTGTGCAAGGTGTGTTTCACTTTAAGAGGCTGTGACTACTGGAATCCTTCACAGCTTCTGGTAAGGTGCTTTGAGGTGTCTTCAGACTTGTTAAAGGTGAGTCCTGATGGTGCAGTGATGGCTGCCATTACTTACACTTTTACATTAATACAACAGGCTGGTGGAACCGGTTACCCCACCCAGTGCACCTGTCTGGCACGATGCCTTGTTTAAACTGGTCGCCTGTACAGGTGTACTGGCTAATGGCTGCTCTTACAGGTTATATCAACACCTGCTAAACTCTAATTCAGGTGCTGTCTGTCTTTTGTTCTCTGTTAATATAAACCTCATATAAGAAACTGCTACCACCCACCTTATTTGTGTCTCCAGGGGAGTAAAGGAAAGCCAGCTACATCCATTACCCTGGATATGTAACAGGAATAACCAGCACTGCTCTGTATATAATACAGTGTGCAAACATACATTAATCATAACCTGTAATCACTGTTTGACACAGGGCTTGACTTCATGTGTAAAGATAAAGGTGTGAATATGGGGCGCATCCTCTATAGCAAAAGCTGTGGTTGGAACTCCATTCCACTTCTATGGTCTTCACTGCATCTTCTGCGGGCATATCTGGCGAGATATATTGAGGGCTACGTTGACCTCTTAATTTGTGTTCCCACATTTGAAATACCAGAGAATATTTTGTGTGTGTTTGGATGCTACGTCACAGGAGCTCTATTTATTTTAATCCTAAGTGCAATAGACTTTTTTTATTTATTTAATTTTTTTTTTAGGGAATTCTGATTTGTAGATTTCGAAGAATTCCAAAAGTAAACACAAAGAAACAAACCTGTTCAAATCCTCAAAGCAAATTGATAAATTTAGTTTATATAAAACTCCAGGGATAAATGATATAAATGGATTGCAGTTTGGGCAGGTGGCTGTATTTCTCTAACCCACGCTGTGCCAGAGGTTGGCATTGCTTACATGTTCGTTCTTGTTGAGGTGGCATCTGGCTGCGTTTTGCCTTCTGTGCCTGGGAGCGAAGGACTCCCCACACCTGCAGTGTATTTCATTGAAACTTAATTCTGCTATTAATCACACCGCATGCTGTCACTTTAATGGCAGAGTGATGCTTCCCTGAAATATACATTGTTGTGCTGCGGAATCCTTATAAACATTGTTTGGGGGTACAGTATCTGAAAGCGGCTATATTTAAACGAATAGGACTGATCCATTCAGGAGTGCCTGTCACAGAACATGCCTGGTTGGCATTTGATCTCTGGAGCAGTAGGTTACGGGTGTAACCTGGCATGTCCTCTAGATCACATTTGGCAATATTCACATACTGGTCAAAACTGGTTCTCAGGCTTTATTTAAAGAAAGTCGTGTGATGGAATTGAAACTGTCTGTGGACTTTCTTGTAAAGTAACTGCAGCATGTGTGGCACTTTCTGTAGTCTAGTAATCTGCTAGGGTCAGGTATCACCCAGGGCAAGCTACTTGTCCTGACTCACAATTTAAATCGGGGATGGGGTTGCTTCCTACAGCCTAGTGTTTCTCTGTCCCTTTCCCACCAATAGAGTGATGGCTGTGTATAGAATGTATGTGTGAGTGAGCTGGCTATGTGTGTGGCAAAGGTGTTTTACCATCGTCTTACCTTTGATGGCTGTAATGTGGTCCAGCGGGGGCAAAACCTCTCAGATGGTTCAGTGGCAGAGCTTGTGCAGGCTACAGCAGTCATGTTGTCAATTTGGATATACACACACTGATGCGCACATGTCGTGTGCGTGCACATATACACGCCCATACAAACGCATTGATGTAGAGACCCACATACACTGACAGGCACACAATCACAGTGTATCTGTACCTGTATTCGTGTGTGTATGTGCATCCATGACTGTCTGTTTGTGTTGAGGGAGCTATTTGTGTTCTTACTGTGTTGTGTTTACGGTGGGACTCTGTGTGAGCGGTGATTATGAGGGTTACTGTCTGTTTAGAAACCAGTCTGTGTAAATAAGATGCATTGTTCTAAACTACGTCTTGGTTAAATTGGTATTGAAAATTCACCTTAAATGTCTCAGGATAGCCGCATCCTCATCCATACCTCTAAAATTAGTGTGTCTCATGTCTGATTTGAAATGTTTGGAGATATGATTGCAGCCTTTGGGGTTTGGTCAGGGGAGATGACAGGGTACTTTCAGTAATCTGTTATCCGTACCCAGCGCTGTGTGTGTGTGTGTGTGTTTTTTTTTTTATTTTAATTTTCTTTTTCTTTTTTGTGTACACCCTGTAATAGAAGTCGCTTGGTTTTAGATATTAAATGTGAGGGTTGACATAGAGCACTGGGACCATCTCCTGGATTTTCTGTCATTTTTTTTTTTTTTTTGTGGTATAGAGGACACTGTTCTGTCTGGTTTTTTGGGTATAGAATGTGGTCGCAGTCTGGTGACCTATCTTCAGCCATTTGCCCGATACCCTGCTTGTTAAGTGAAATGGCTTTTGGGGGGGTCACTTGTAACCCTGGATAGATCTTGTGTAAAGGTTAGTAACTGTGTGGTGATGTTCGTGCCGGTCTTGTTTGACCTATGGGCTTTCCTTTTACAGACTGCTTTGGTGCAGGTAAATTAGCTCTTCTTGCTGAAGTCCAACTTTTTCAGGTGTCTGTGCAGTACCTGCTCATTACAACTTGCAGACTTTGACCTCTTTGTCCAGTGGATTCCGGTGAATTAAAATAGTGTGTTCCTCTCGCGTCCGGTTAATATTGGACAACAAATCTAACAATGGATTGGGCATCTTCACCCATTCTCAGATAAGACGTATGTCCGTGTGTAAATAAATACTCACTGTCTGAGTTAATGGATTTCTGGAAATGTGAAACCTGTGATGGAGGGTATTGGCAGAGAGCTTCTCACTTGCACTCAAAACCCCATATTCTCTGTGGTACCCCATGTACATCTTTGAGCTCTTGAGGTTCTGTCTTTCTTCCAGAGCTGCTACTTGGCACCGTGTGGGTTATGAAAAGTTATTGAATGAGTGTATGGTTGCATGTTTAATAAATGCTATTGATGTAGCAGACAACATAGAACTACACCTCCTTGATGCTCTGCCATTTCGTTTCTTCAATTAGTTATAGCTAAACATTCTGGGACTTGTAATTCCACTAATGCTTATTGCTGATTATCCCAGATCTGCAAGAAGCTTTATATTATCCTATTAATCTAACACTGCATGGTGTCCATGTTGCTTAAAGTTTGAATATTTTGGGCGTTGACCAAGATGGTGGGCTGGTGTGGTTCAGGTGTATTAATAATCCCCCACAAATCGCTATTTTAAAAACCAAGTTCTACTGACTAGTTCTTTGTTCTCTTCTTCCAGATCTATCAAAATGACAGAGTACAAGCTTGTGGTAGTTGGCGCTGGAGGCGTTGGCAAGAGTGCTCTAACAATCCAGCTGATTCAGAACCACTTCGTGGACGAATACGACCCTACGATTGAGGTGAGCTGACTCTGCAGTGTATGGACTGTGGTGCATCCCTGTAATGGGGAAAGGTGTGATCACCTAGATGTTGAACCCCAGTATAAGGAGGAGGTTGCTGACAGCAAGAGGTGTAACTCTCTAGCAAAAGGGAAACTACCAGCATGAAGAGAACCCCCATAACAGGATGGTTCTTATAACGTGTGTGTGTGTGTGTGTGTTTTGATGATCAGGGTGGATTGACTTGACACACTAGTCACTCTATTGAAATCACCCTTTTTTTTTTTTTTTTAATGTATAGACTCCTGACTGATTAAAAAGTTAAATATGAAATCTTCACTTAGTTGCAAATATTAAAATTATAAGCGTAGTTTAATAGTGTTATCAAAACTGATTGTTATGTAATATTAGAAATACATAAATAATGGTGAAATTATTGCAAGATGAGAGTTTTTAATAGGTTAATCACTTGTATTTGGAGAACAACTTAAAGGTGTTCATTGTGTGTACATAGATTTGCACACTAACAATGGTTAGTAGGTATGTTTCTGAACTTGTATTTTTATAACCTTTTTGCTGTGAAGAGGTTTGTGTATATCGATATCTATCTGTCCGTCCCTGATGGAGATGGATCAAATATGTGGCTAGAATTGCAACAGATGTTCTGGAGCAGTTTATTTGGGGTTCCAGTACGGTGTGTGTGTGTGTGGGGTGTTTTTGTTTTTTTTTTTTCTCTCTCTCTCTCAAAATCCACCCATTCTAAAAACCGTCTCTCACTGGCTTTGTCTGCAGCTCTCTTTGCAATCTGACCAGAAATACAAAAAAAAAAAACTTGTGTAATGTGTGCACTGGGTTTTTGGATCACATGTACAGGAGATAGATAGCTACATATAATGTGATTGTCACAAAAATAAAATGGAAATTCCTATTGGCACTGTGTATAAAGTTGTTATCCTATAGCACATGACTCAAAAGTTTTTAATAATGAATATGTTTAAGGGACCAATAAACTATTGACCTCATTATGCTTTTATTTTTTTTTGTGCAGCTGAAAAACTGCATGTATGAAGAGAATATTGCTCCTAATCTGATATATATTCTCGCGTGGGGGAGCCGCGTGTTATTTTCATGGTGCTATGATAGATCTCCTTCTCTGGCCTGCTAGCACTTTGCTGACAGCCGGCAGGGAGGGAGAGTGCACCCGGGGGCTGCAGCTCCGCTGAATTCTCCTCTCAAAAAGGTATATATATTCATTTGCCCTTCTAGCTCCCCCATACACACTCTCTTCTCCCCAGTCAGGATCTTGCAAGTTGAAGAGATCTTCCAACTGCACCTGTGTAAACCGGTCAGGCATTTGCAATGCACTTTTCCAACATTCCTAGGGTTAGGGTGCTGATTAGGTCTGTGTATCCCCCTGGAAAGGTGGTGGAAAGCATAATAAATAGGCGTGTAAATATGGGAGAAAGGCATCCTATTTACCGGCTTTCTTTCAGCCTGTAGATTCGGAAGCTGTGCCCATGGTTCTAGTAGGCAATAAGTGTGACTTGCCGCCTAGAACTGTGGATACAAAACAAGCGCAGCATCTGGCAACTGTCTTTCAAAACTGTAACTCAATGTGAAGCATGTCCCTTTAAAGCTAAAACCACTATTTGCTAACATAGGCATTGTGGAAAACTGACAAGGGAATTACAACTGTGAACAAGCAACACAATGTCTTCACAAATCTGGCAATAACTGAACCTGCTGACTGCAGTCAAACTCCTATCACTCACTCTGCCAGCCCATTAGATTACAGTAGATATTTACAGTTTCACCTCCAAGACTTCTGCTGAGCTCTGCATGCGGAGGCTCTCAGGGAGGAGTGACGTGAAGTCATTTGGCTGGCAGCTAGAGTCTCTGGCTGGGGAAGGACGTGTGTGCTAACTGGGAGAGGTGAGTCTCTTATTGGTAAATATCCATGCTTGTAATTGGAAATATTCTAAATATTGTCTGCACTAATTTTAATACTATCCATAGTCTAAAGGGGTGGGTTTTATATCATTTGTGCCTAGTTATTGAAATGGGTAACACAATGCACTAAGAGCGTCCCTTTCATTGCAGGACTCTTACAGAAAGCAGGTAGTCATCGATGGGGAGACTTGCCTCCTGGATATCCTGGACACTGCAGGTCAAGAGGAGTACAGTGCTATGAGAGATCAATATATGCGAACAGGAGAGGGGTTCCTGTGTGTATTTGCTATTAATAATACAAAATCATTTGAAGACATTCACAATTATAGGTAGGGTTTGCTAAAATGCTTTGAGTTCAGGTTTTTCATTCACTTTGTGGGATGTTTTGTCTGTATGCTATACTGGCACTAAAAGCTGAATGCTTGGGTTGTTCCAAAAAATCCAGAATCAATAGTTGGCTCACAAGATGGGAACACTGTTTATATATGTTATGATCTTTCCAGGAATGCTTATTTTTTTTAAATCTGTATTTATGACCTTACTGGTACGCGCACTATTCATAACACTGAGTGTTCTATGTTAATGCTGCCTGCCTAGAGAAAATAATTAGACTTGTAACATCTGACTTGCTCTGAGTTGGGTATATCTCTTCTATTGGGTGGGAAGTCTTGATGAACATCCAGGTCATTCTTGCAGCATGTCAGTTGACCCAGGAAGGGACACTGTCTAAGTTTAGGATTACAGGTTTATATTGCTAAAACTAAAGTGTTACCCTAAATATCTGGATTGTTGGGTCTTCAGAACAATAAACTGTAGTGGTTCTGGCGAAGTGTACCTTTTTAACTGCATACAAAAAAAATCACACTGGTAATTAGAGTAGTTTTGCTAATGTATTATGTGGCTGACCAATACATCTTTAACAAGGGTTTTTATTTTTATTATAGAGAACAAATAAAAAGGGTTAAAGATTCTGAAGATGTGCCCATGGTTCTCGTAGGCAATAAGTGTGACTTACCGTCTAGAACTGTGGATACAAAACAAGCGCAGGATCTGGCACGAAGCTATGGAATTCCATTCATTGAGACATCGGCAAAGACAAGACAGGTAAGTCTTCCTACAAAATCGTCCCCCTACTCTCCCAAAAGTATAAATTCTGCTCTTTGATTGCCTTTTAATTTTTATAAATCTAGCAAATCAATCTAACATGAAGCTTTCATCTTGACAATTTGGTTTAATCACTTCTTACAAAGAGCTACAAGCTCGTCTAAATAACGTGACTTCCTTTTAATGAAGATGAAATCTCTATTTGCAGACTGTCGGTCACAGCTGTCCTTTCTGCTCTTAATGAACTGACCAAAATAAAGATACCATATCTGGAAATACGGTCGTGCTCAGAGGCTGATTTGTTACTGGGGTTTACAGTTTAACGATTCTTTCTGTTAATGCCTCCATGATCTTGTTAGGTCAACATTCTTGATTTGTAAAGCGCCTGAAGGAGGAAGTTTGTTTTTAAAGAAAACCTAGTCTGTACTGAATATATCTATAGCTATATCTCTATCACACACTGTAGCGGAGATACAATATTACCCAGGTTATCTCCGCTTATAATCCAAGTGAGACTCAGGAACAAGTAAATAATAAATCCAAAGGCAGGGTTTCCAGCAGGTAACATACAGCAATATCCCAACAGCAATCCCAATAACTGGACGACACACAGTTTCAGGAGCATAACTGACAAGCCTTTAATCGCAGTCTCCTTATAAAGCATGCTCCCATGCAAGGGAGGAACTTACAGTAATTATTACAGTAGCCAATCCTGTCCTGGTAACCTCCCACACATCCCCTCCCCTCAGCCAGCATCATAATCCCCTTAGCCAGCACACCAATTCCCCCCATTTCTGGATGTACCCCTAAACGTAGGGGTACCCCTTTAAATCATACATCCCCGGGTAGCCCTGATCTGGGTGAACAACATATCCAAAAATCACCCAGATCGGACCAGGGGTTCGGGAAAAGTATGGAGGGAATAAAATGACCGACCGCACGAACAGAGATAGCCGAATTCGGTTCCATGTGAATGGGCCTTGCGGTCGGTCCTGGCATAAGGGAATAAAATACACGAAAGCCTCTAGCTATAGAGGCTAGGGAGGGTTCGCCTGAATCCCCTCGTTCGGTATTTTCTATTTACCGAACGAGGGGCCGTTCGGTAGTTTGGAACCGAACGGACCAGGGCTGTGGAGGTCTCAGCGGTGTTCGCCTACTCGAGTGTCCGATTTTAGTTCCAGACACTCGACGGCAAAACACCGCTGTTCGGGAGTTTTAAAATGGCCGCCGCCACGTGTTCGTTTGTCGAATGGCGGCCACCCCCGAGAACAAAGGACGGCTACTTACTGTTCAATTACCCGTTCGCAACAATGTTGCAATGGGTAATTGAGGACACACTTCACACAGGGAGGTCTGGTTGTTCGGTAGTTTCATTCGAATAAACTAAGGGAATGAAACCACCGAACAATCAGAGGAATACAAGTCTTTTTAAATGCACAGAAATTACAGCAGATACACGTATGCAGCTTTATACAGTATTTCTTGTAGGGTCGCCTGGTGCCATCTGCTACACACACACACTCTGCAGCCTAGGGAATATGGGTTCAAACGTATTAAAGGAGGATTTTGGAGAAATTGGGATAGTGAAAGCTTGTTTGATAGTAACTCTGAAATGCTATTACACTGTTGCAAGCATAGCTTCTGTACAAATAGTTTAGGCTTGGGTAGGACAGGGCTTAGAAGGATGGGGAGTCCTAGCAAAGTGTTAGTAGCTGAAGGTGACGCACGCTGATTTGGCTACTGTTACTAGAATGGGTTGTCTGGGAGGCTAGTGCATTTGTTAGAATTGTACCAAAATGGTTTTGTAGTGTTAAAGGACCACTATAGTGCCAGGAAAACATACTTTTTGGCACTATAGTGCCCTCCGGGTCCCCCTCCCGCCGGGCTCTGGGGAGAGGAAGGGGTTAAAATCTTGCCTTTCTCCAGCACCGGGCAGGGAGCTCTCCTCCTCCATAGCGATGTCATCGGCTGAATGCATGGCAGGAGCAGCGCACGCATTCAGCCAGTTCATAGGGAAGCATTTAGAATGCTTTCCTATGGACGATGGCGTCTTCTCGCTGTGATTTTCAGTGAGAAGCACGCAAGCGCCTCTAGCGGCTGTCAAGAGACAGCCACTGGAGGCTGGATTAACCCATTTATAAACCTAGCAGTTTCTCTGAAACTGATATATATGTGTGTGTGGTTAACCCTAGCTGGACCAGGCACCAAGACCACTTCATTAAGTTGATGTGGTCTGGGTGCCTATAGTGGTCCTTTAATACTGCAAGATCGATGGGCAGAAAAGTTGCAAATTGGTATAACCTGCAGTGTGACTGGTGCTGCCTCTGTTCAGATTCTGTAAAAACATTGTTCCTCCACATTTTAAGCTACCAAACTTCAGCCTGATCATTCTGTGTTTTGGCTGGGGAAGTGTATCATTGGTCATAATCAGACAGTCCTTCAGATCTGCTCGTAGTCCAGGCTGGGTGAAGATTAATTTATTTGTGTGGTGGGTTAATATTTAATTGGTGATGGGCTCTTGACATCCTCTGCATTGACAAAACAATCTTTCCTGTGTTAAATCAAAAAAAAAAAAAACTTGCCTGTAGCTGGTCTTGCCTATTTAAATCTTCTTTAATCTTGGGAGAATCCATTTTAATGTTTCCCTCCCTTAATTTGATCATTAACGCTAAACCTGAGCTAAATTAAGTTTAATGCCCATTATAATTGACTCTATGAAAACCACTCTGTCCCATGAATGCTGCTCTTAGTTTGCCATCCAGACACTACCAAAATCAATTTCACAGCTTCATTCATGTAATAACCTAATGATGGCTTTATCTAGATCCTTAATTATATTAAGAATAATTCTTTTACTTAGAAATTTCTCCAAATTCTATCTGGGCTCCATATAACACCTACTGTACTGGGGAAATGGGCTTAACCCAAAAAACATCTCCTAGAGGCAGTTTGAACTCCAGGGGCCCCAAGATGTGTCCCTGAACCCCATATTTTAAAGGAGTTCTGTTTTACAATGCAGAGAGTGGAAGATGCTTTTTATACACTGGTGCGAGAAATTCGACAATACAGATTGAAAAAGATGAGCAAAGAAGAGAAAACACCAGGCTGTGTGAAAATTAAAAAATGCCTGGTAATGTAATGGGTAAGTGCTTTCACTTCGGTGTCTTGGGCTAATTGGAGGGTGCCTATGGTTGAGATTGTGGAACAGTCCAAGTAGGGGGAAGCTTTTTGTAAAAGTACGTGTGTGTGTTTGAGGTCAAATGGTGTGGATTTTAATGTGATGTTTGAGGATGCAATGATCTCCTTTTTTTTTTAAAAAAAAATGTCTAAAGTTACTGCCCCCAGCCTGTGTAATGCTGGGGCGACGGCTGGGACACACTCTTGGTAAACGACAAAAATAATTTTCTGTGCTAGTCAGGTTTTACAAAATGCCATCAGTTCTCTCCTACCCGTTGGGTGGTCTAGGAGGTTTCTAGATTTGAGGTGTAAATGTCCTGTATTGGTTTTGGTTTTTAAAAATAAATAAATTATAGCTGCCCTATGGAATATCTGATGGTTTATTATAACCGTTCATGTATTAGGGTTGCATGGCTTGCATTAAGATGTTAAACAGGAAGAAGACTGGTGGCAGGGGCACTGGGGTTTGTTTCAGTGGACCGGTCTAGAATCCATTTGTAACATCTTATACATATAATAATCTGCACACATCTGCTATAAAGTGTTGTATTTGAGGAAGACACAGCTGAAGGTTGATTTTTTTTTTTTTTATTTTTTTTTTTTATTTTTTTGTGTTTTGTGTGTTACCTGCCTCCCTTGGTGTGGGAGAGGTCTCCAAATCTATTTGACTCAAGTTCTTTTACAGAAGTGTGAGTAAGCAGCTCAATAATATCTGCTAGGATATTTTGAAATCTCTCATCGAATGGCTTGAATTTAAATTTGTTTGTTCTGGGTGCAGTTTAAATTCTTGGTGTAAGCTCTCCTTACTCATGGTTTGTCTTCCTGCAGGGCGTGGATGATGCTTTCTATACGTTAGTACGAGAAATTCGCAAGCACAAGGAGAAGATGAGCAAAGATGGCAAAAAGAAAAAGAAGAAATCCAAGACAAAGTGTTCAATTCTGTAAACGGCATATGTCCCGTCTGCCTGCACCCACCCACCCTGACGCATGCAGAAACCTGATTCTGTTCCATACACTAAATTATTAGCGTTTTGCTTCTCTTTATTTTGAGACCTGTGGCTTATGCTTGGAGAAAACACTTTATCTGACAGTTTAAAGCAATCATTTTTAATTTTTGTGCCAGTATTTAATTTTCTGACTGCAGGCCTTGTGAAAAGCTAAAGTAACTGTAGCAATGTGAAGGCCGGGTCTTACCGCTGCCCCCGGCATTGTATCTGTTCATCACATGGTCTAAACGTGTCCTGGTTTCATTGTCATCTGTTATAGGTTGCTTCCTCTGTTTAGCTAAACCGGGTGCTGCTGTCAGTGGCGTCATCTTCACGTCTGGCTATGCTCGTCACAATTTCTAACAGGACAGTTAACTAACTAAAGGGGGCCTCCCTTCCCCCTGATATGCCTCTTCCAATGGGCATGCACTACACACTACATCTGCTTTCCATCGTCCTCTCTCTTCTTCCTTTGTCCTCACTGATATGTAAAGTGAACCCATTCCCACAATGTGATAATGGCAATGGTGCTACTTTGACTTGCTGCATGGATATTTAACATCTCTTGTTTTGCAGAAATACACTTATTTATTTCTTTCCCTGCTTTAATGCCTTTTAGATGTAAAGATGCTAAATTGCACTACTTATTGTGTCTTGCAGTAGTTTAATAACTAAGTGACATTGCTAACAGTCTGTCTTTTTTATAGCTCTTGCTTAAGGATATATCCCCTACCAGCACTTTGCCAAAAGCTGATTGTTGGCGACGGTCTTCAATCCTCTAAAGCCTCTCTACGCTCTAGGAAACCAATCCTGTGACTGGGACAGACTGCAGTCAGTACTTTAGTTCCTAAAGGCCAGTTTCACACATCTGGCTCTACATCCACATTTAATTGAAAATATTTCTCTCTAAAAGGGTTAACTGGGCCACTATAATGTCCAGTATGTTTCTTTCCATGTGTTGATGTAGCTCTGATCCAGTAATTATAGCCAGAGTTAGTACATTTAGCATGATGAAAGCAGAGCTCCAGGAAGCCTGATCTACTCCACACAGAGCAATGGGCAGGAGGTCCATGTTTCTGGCTCCAGCTCTCTGTATATGGTTATTTTGTGTCCAGGATTTGTTCCATTTGAGGTATTTCCGTGGAGCTTTTGCAGTGGTTGTATTTTTATGGCAATATATTTTCCGTGGCATCCTACCTCAAAATAAGTGCAGCTCAGATGGAAACAAACTATTTTATACTATCCGTATTGCTAACATAGTACTCTTAGGGCAGGGAGCTAGCAATCTATTGTGTCTTCCAGGGACGCTCCAATGCATTGTATTTTCATGAAATTGATGACTAGATGCACGGTAATAAATAAGAGCAGCTGTAGCCGCAGTAACAAACTATTTCAGAACCCTTAATTAAGATGTACAGGTTTGCTTTCATTAAATCATAGCAGGATTAAAGGGGGTGGAGGGGTTACAGTCTCATCACTTTTCCAGTACTCGCCCTAATTAAATAGAACTTTGTAATTTGCTATTTTACCAACATCTTCTTTAACCTGCATCAGCAGTACTGAAATTATTCCTCCATCTTCCCAAGACATCGGCTTCCTCCACAGTTGTAGGTTTAACCATATTTAGTATACAGAGACTTGCTTTTAATGCATTTTATTGAAGGGCAAGTTTTGTTTAACCAAAAAAAAAAACAAAGTTTGGCTTCTATGTCCAGCCCTGGTATTCTACTAAGCAGTTGATGGATATATTAACACACACTCTAAAAACTGGCATTGTGCTCCTCTCAGGGGTGTCCCAACTCAGTCACCCAACAACATAAAGGGACACTCCCCATGCCCAACTCAATAAAATAACCAATGAAAACTAGCATTCATGCATTTAATTTAAGTAACAGGACTGGTTGTCTGACAGCCAGGGGTGTGTAACAAGGTTTATATATAAAACTTGAAATATGCTCCTTTCAAATAATGAATAATTAACCATCTATTGATCGGACACCCCTGTGATCTCACTAGTGCCTTGCAGCACGCTTTGCCATCTCCAGTGACGTGAGGGTTAAAGCATTGTTTCATTATATGTGAAACCCAGCTGTGGATTTAATTTTTTGGTGTGTGTGTGTGTAAGCTTTCTATAACCAACCCCCTCTGGGTAATGGCTGCTGCTGTGCACATTTTGTTAATGTGGCATTAAAAGGAGTGTACCTACGGATAAATACAGTCTACATTACTTGAATATGAATACGTTCACCTAGCTGCAATTCCAGTCTGAAGCCTGGCTCTGATCGGCACGGCCATTTAATTGTAGCACGCCAACATTTTTAATTACCCTGGGATTTCGCAATAATCTAAGCACATTCTGTGAAATTGCTGAAAGCAACAGTCCTCATGCTTTGCCATAACCTCTTGTCTTGTATTTAGATTGCTCTCCCCTTACCGCACACGTAATATTGTCTTACTATATTGCTCTTGACTTTGGTGAGGTGGGAGCCCCACTGGTTTAAGGTGCAGTACGCTCCCTCCACCCAAGATAAAAGTAACATGTTTACCTGGAATGTATTGTAACTATTTTTGTATAGAAACATGCACATTTTGTACATTGTGCTTTATTTTTAATCTGTTTGATACATGCCGATTGTGATGACCACATTGTGGTCACTGACACAACTACAAATTAAAATGACCACTGAATTCCATGTTTATTTTATAGGAGTATGTTCTGTGTGATTAGTCAATTGTGTGTGTGTTTTTTTTTTTTTTGGTCTCTAATGCTCCTATTTATTGTAATGTAATAAATGAGTTCTGGTGAGATTGCTGGTGTGTTCTTTAATGGAGATTACATGTGCTGGTGTGTTTCATTATTACACGTTGTTCATGCTTGTATTAACCTTCCTTTAAAAGAAGCTGTGGTGGGTACATGTCATGGCAGTAAATCCACTTAGTCTGCTTACTGTGCAGGGTGTGGAGTAGGACTGTATAATCGAAAGCATTAGAGATTAATTTGGCCTCATTTATTTCACGAGTGTTAAGGGAATCCTAAATAATACTATATCTCAACTCTGCAGGAGATAAATATGTCAAATGATCACTATGTATTTTATTATGATCAAAGCAAACAGTGACTTATGTCTTTTAAATTTGAAATAGTTAAACCCAACTGTACCCCCTGCCCATTAGTGCTAGCCACAAACAGCCGCCATTCTCAGTGTGTACTTGGTGTAAGAGCAGGGATTTCCAATATATCACAAGACTATATTCCTAGCACTGGATGCTAAATTATTTCATACAGAGGACTCCTGAGACACGTAGTAATAACTCTGTATGTAACAATGCAGTGTTTTTACCAGGACAGTAATGGGTTAGATTGAACAAATAGACTTTCACTTGGGTTTTAGGCCTACATAAGTTATTCAACTAAATGAGCTGTAGCTCAAAAGATATTAGTTTATTAACAAGATATACATTTTATTAAAATTTCTTGCTTAAAAGTTATCTTGAATAAAATTCAAAGCCGTTTTTCCAGAATGGAGGATGTAAGGAAACCTAGTATATCCAATCCTCATTCGGTAGTTTCCTCCCGAACGGCCAGGGCATCAGTGATTATAGCTCTCCGTTCGGCAGATGAAAGAAACGAAAGCTTTACAAGATGATTCCATTAATAAAGCATACGAACACCCAAACATTAGCCAGAGTCTAGAAGAAGGGGGCAACAGAACTGGCTTTTAATTATCACACACTGGCTTTTATGCAAGTCATATGCCACAGGGAGGGACAAAGTACATCCAATCAGTTACAAGGAAAACATAAAACACTCCCAGCACAAACATACAATTCCCTCCCCTAGTCCTGGAGATAATCAAGTCTGATAAAGTAATAACTTGATTATCTCCGGGCAGAAAGATTACAGTTTTACCCAATATTTAAAACACCCCTTTAGGCATAGGGTATCCCCACAAATAATATGTCCCCTGATAGCCCCGATCTGGGTGACCAACATATTCAAATTTCACCCAGATCGGTTCAGGGGTTCTCAAAAAGTATGGAAGTCTTTTGTGACCGGCTAACCGCGAGGTTGCTGCCCAAAACAGTTCCACGAGTTTGGGTAGTTTTGCCGATCCATTTTGTTAAGTAGGAAAAAACCGAATAATTCCACAAACGGTTTCCCCTGGCTCTTAGCAGCGATTGTTCCCCTCATATGCATGAACAAAAGTACCGAACAACACTCTTCTAGCTGTTCGGGAAATAAAGATCCAGCGTTCGTATGTTGGGACCGGTGTTCCCGAAAGTCGAGTGTCCGATTTTAGTTCCAGGCACTCGATGACCAAGTCCCGCTGCCTTTGTTCGCACAAAAAAAGATGCCCGCCGTTTTCTCAGCCACGTGGCGTCCGGCAATATGAACAACAGCCGCACAGGTAGAGGGTTTAATTAAGGCATGCTTTGAAGTTAACGAACCGGGGGGTGGTCTCTGTTCGGTAGTTACATCTACCGTATGGAAAGGGGAGAAATGCCAAACATAAAGAGGGATTTCTTCACAGAGGATGATGCAGGTTGATGGAGAAGCTTATCTTTAAATCTATTGAGTTTGCGCAATTTCAGGCAATTTATTGCAAATACTTTACACTTGTTTTGATTACAGTCACACTAGCATCTACAGTCCATGATTGGTTAAAACTTCTAAACTGTTATATATGTATTAAGGCAATTTGCCTGGATTTGTGGGAGGTGCTTGGTATCCACTCCTAGCCTACTTAAGGCACACCCCTTACCTTGCTCCTTACCGTTCGAGGTCAGCATTGAATGGTCAGCATGGGGTCATTTATGGGAAAACATGCCAGTTCGTTGTTACTCAGACAACCAGGCAACCTGTCACATCATCAACAAAGGTCGCTCAAAATCCCTTACGATCATGAGATTTCTGAGGAAACTCACGTGGTTGGCAGCTTGTTATAATTTCTTTCTACATTGTTTCCATGTTCCAGGAATATGTAACACAGCTGCTGACAGTTTGTCTCATTTTAAATTTCAGGCATTTCATCAAGCACTCCCATCAGCTGCACTCACAGCCACTACCACTCCAACATTTCAACAACTAATACTGGACTAGACATCATCATGCATCATAGCAGGACACTGTCCCAATTGGCACTGTCAAAGAATACACACAAAACATACGACAGGGCTTTTACACTATTCAAAAGATTCCTTTTGGAACATAACATCATGCAACCATTTGTTATGACATCCTTTTTGGGTTTTGCTTCTTTTTGCCACCTTAAAATGTCATATAACACCATCAAACTTTATCTCACAGGCATTCAACGCCATATGCTAATCTTACAACCTAACAACACTAGTTTCATGGCCTCTCACCAGATCAAGACTATCCTCAAAGGCATTCAGAAATCTGAACCCACACGTACATCAGAGTCTACCCATAGATAACCATATCTTCAAGGCATTATCTAACCTGCTTGATTTAAAACCTTTTGACACCAATACAAATTCTGTCATCAAGGCAGCAATATACATAGCTTTCTATGGATTTCTAAGACCTAGAGAGTTTACTACAACCAACACAACACAATCTGCTCCTATTCTCCTCTAATCCCACTTAACAAAACACATGGATCATTACATCCTAACGCTACCTCACTCCAAAACCAGCCAGCACATACGAGTAAACATTACATACTACCCCACGCACAACAAGTGGTGCCCCGTCAAGATTCTGGATGCATACCTACAGCATCATATTTCAATACCATCACAACCATTACTACTATTACAAAGTTCGGTACTCACCACTACAACCTTCATGACGTACGTCAGGTCTTTGCTCACTCAACTGGGCCTCAAAGCAGCTAACTACTCAGAGCACTCCTTCCGCATAGGAGCATCGTCCACAGCCTCCAGTGTCAACATTCCAGTCCATGTTATAAAAACACTGGGGCGCTGGAAGTCATCTGCTTACTCACGATACATACCGAACCCAGTACAAGAATTAAGGGATGCTTTCAAAAACATGTCTGGTTGATATATGTATCTGTATTGGTTGTCTGTAAAAAAATTTGATTACTTAATTTTTGCCCTCTTCTTTCTCAGGCTTGCCTCATCGTCGGTTCTGGCACACCACAACCGACTTGCCATTTTTACTATCCTACATTTAATTATGGTATTTTACTCTGTACTATCATGAGCACCTAACACAAGTATTAAGGCAATTTGCCTGGATTTGTGGGAGGTGCTTGGTATCCACTCCTAGCCTACTTAAGGCACACCCCTTACCTTGCTCCTTACCGTTCGAGGTCAGCGTTCAATGACCCTCCCACCACACCACATTTTAACATTTATTTCCTTTCTATTTTTTTTTTTTCCTGGGTAGGCCCTCTTCTTTCTCAGGCCTACCTCATCGTCGGTTCTGGCACACCACAACTGACTAGCCCTTTTTACTATCCTACATTTAATTATGGTATTTTACTCTGTACGATCATGAGTATCTAACACAAATAAATAAATATATATATATATATAAATACACACACACACACACACACACTATGAAATAATTGCGTGTCATCATGACAAACTATTTTTATTGGGCCCTGTGATTCCCATACTGAGCTACTGTTTGATTGTGGAAATGAAGACTACTTTATTTATCCCTATTATTTTTTTTTCAAAAAAAATAAATTTACACAAAACAAAACAAACCGCACAGCACTGTGGCAGAAATGCCTCTGCCACATGTTCTTGGAGAAGCCTGCTTGCCATCCTCCTGCCTCAAGACTATGGGCCATGTGAAAAGGTTCATAAAAGACTTTGTACAATTTCTCTATTCTGTTCGGGAACCGAACAGGTGCATGGACCACCCGGGAGCACGTTAAGCCTAACTGACCGTTTGTAACACGTTCCACCGCAGGGTTCTAATTGTTCGTCACATGAACGACCGCGAGTTGGCGGCCATCTTGTTCCCACAAACACAGGCAGCTGTGTTTGGGAATGAATCTCATGGAACTGAAATCTGACACAGAAACCCCTGAACACCGCTGAACTTCCAGCATCGCCTGCGTTCGGTACTACACCACTTAGAAGGGCAATGTTCGGTGGAAAAGTTCCCACGAACAAGGTAAACAAGCTCTGGGGTAAGACTATGGACTATGTTCGGTAGTTTGTTCGTTTTTAAACTACCGAACTAGACTGACTGTTAGCACTGATTTCATGGAACTGTTTTGGGCCAAGGACCATGTGCATGGTCGGTCAAATAATTGACTTCCATGGAAATCCCGAACCCCTGAACCGATCTGGGTGATTTTTTGGATATGTTGGTCACCCAGATTGGGGATATCAGGGGATGTAACTTTTGCGGGGTTTTAATGTGTTTTGGGGGTACTTCTGAGGTATTGTTATATTGCACGTTTTCTGTACTGGGAGATAATTTAATTTAGATGTTTGTTTGCAACTAGTTCTCTCTCAGGTCCAGCGGGGAATGCCCCTTGCATGGGGGGTTGCATAAAAGGCAGTGTGTGGCTCCCAATAAATCAGTTCATCCCCAGCATAGAGCCTCATCTTATGTGTGTGGGAGAAAGATTTAGCAGCTATATCCCTGCTCTTTGGATTGCTATATCACTAGCTCTTTTAAGGGCTACACAGCTATACTCTCTTGGAGGAGAGGTCTTCCCACTGGGAGCTGGATCCAGGTGTTGGTCCACGGAAGGGACAGTGAGACCTTAGCCAAGCTGTGGTGACTAAGGGGACTACAGTGCTTATGGTGTCCGGTGTGGTGCTTATAGTACTCAGTGATACTAGGAAGCAGCAATTGGTGGAGGTACCCAGTCGGGGTGCCATGCAGTCCGCCACAAGCACTTTATATCCCTGAAAGCAAATGAAGTACAGACAGTAAAATGTTCCTGTTAACGGCGGCTTCCCATGTCTTACAGAGTCTATCTAGAATGTTATAGTTCGGTGCCCCAGTAATTTACACGGTGTGGCGCCTTGTTAGTGACAGGCAGGAACTGGTAGTTTTAAGTTGCAGGCTGTCCAGTGTAGATATGTACTATATGCGCATGGTGGGTTGGGGCATGTGAGCAGTTTTAAACCGACCTATACTTAGATAGGAATCATACCGATCCTCCATGAGATATTTTTTATTTCTACTGCTGGCCAGCCTTCAATTAACCCTCACCCACTGCAGGTTGTTTAACAATATGTCTGCTAGAATTTCCAGCAGAGAAATAATACCCATAAGTGAATGATAAATTGCAAACATGCTATAATTTTGTCCATCTGAACAGAATTCAGTATTTAGTAAGTAACCCTAAATGTCCTAATGTGCTTTATACCCAACTTCCTATAGACTGTAAGCTTGTTTGAGCAGGGTCCTCTTCAACCTATCGTTCCTGTAAGTTTTCTTGTAACTGTCCGATTTATAGTTAAATCCCTCCTCTCATAATATTGTTAAGCGCTACAGAATCTGTTGGCCCTATATAAATGGCAATAATAATAAATTAAATAGGAAATCCACTAGGGGAATTACACTAATTTCTTGGCTCGCAAAATGTAGCCCTGAGTGCTTTGTACTCTATCTCCCCCTAGTGGTTGGTATACGTAAAACATTCTCGATAGACTCCCTCGGAAACCCCCATTAACAGGAACCTTTTACTGTAGTGCTGTGTAATGTCTGCTCCTTTAGATTTCATACAATAACTTTTATTCAGATTTTTCATTAAAAGCTATGTCTTGACTGGTTTATAAGATAAACTAATATTTTTGAACCATCACTCTCTTTTAGTTAAATAATAGGGGTGATATCTGGGGGCCCAGATAGGAGGGGTAAAACAGTGTACCCCTCAGGTTAGGTATAGAGAGGTTCTCAGATAGGAGGGATATAACCGTGTATCCCTCGCAGGATCGGTATGGAGAGGTTCTCAGGTAGGATGGGTATAACCATGTACCCCCTCACAGGTTAGGTATGGAGAGGTTCTCAGGTAGGAGGGGTATAACCGTGTACCCCCTCACAGGTTAGGTGTGGAGAGGTTCTCAGATAGGAGGGGTATAACCGTGTTCCTCTCACAGGTTGGGTATAGAGAGGTTCTCAGGTAGGAGGGGTATAACCGTGTACCCCCTCACAGGTTAGGTATAGAGAGGTTCTCAGATAGGAGGGGTATAACAGTGTACCCCTCAGGTTAGGTATGGAGAGGTTCTCAGGTAGGAGGGGTATAACCGTGTACCTCCTCACAGGTTAGGTATGGAGAGGTTCTCAGATAGGAGGGGTATAACCGTGTACCCCCTCACAGGTTAGGTATGGAGAGGTTCTCAGGTAGGAGGGGTATAACTGTGTACCCCCTCACAGGTTAGGTATGGAGAGGTTCTCAGGTAGGAGGGGTATAACTGTGTACCGCTCACAGGTTAGGTATGGAGAGGTTCTCAGATAGGAGGGGTATAACCGTGTACCCCCTCACAGGTTAGGTATGGAGAGGTTCTCAGATAGGAGGGGTATAACCGTGTACCCCCTCACAGGTTAGGTATGGAGAGGTTCTCAGGTAGGAGGGGTATAACTGTGTACCCCCTCACAGGTTAGGTATGGAGAGGTTCTCAGGTAGGAGGGGTATAACTGTGTACCGCTCACAGGTTAGGTATGGAGAGGTTCTCAGATAGGAGGGTATAACCGTGTACCCCCTCACAGGTTAGGTATGGAGAGGTTCTCAGATAGGAGGGGTATAACAGCCCCTCCGGGTTAGGTAGAGGTTCTCAGGTAGGAGGGGTATAACTGTGTGCCCCCTCACAGGTTAGGTATGGAGAGGTTCTCAGGTAGGAGGGGTATAACCGTGTGCAGCTCACAGGTTAGGTATGGAGAGGTTCTCAGATAGGAGGGGTATAACCGTGTACCCCCTCACAGGTTAGGTATGGAGAGGTTCTCAGATAGGAGGGGTATAACCGTGTACCCCTCACAGGTTAGGTATGGAGAGGTTCTCAGGTAGGAGGGGTATAACAGTGTACCCCTCACAGGTTAGGTATGGAGAGGTTCTCAGGTAGGAGGGGTATAACCGTGTACCCCTCACAGGTTAGGTATGGAGAGGTTCTCAGGTAGGAGGGGTATAACTGTGTACCCCTCACAGGTTAGGTATGGAGAGGTTCTCAGATAGGAGGGGTATAACCGTGTACCCCCTCACAGGTTAGGTATGGAGAGGTTCTCAGATAGGAGGGGTATAACCGTGTACCCCTCAGGTTAGGTATGGAGAGGTTCTCAGATAGGAGGGGTATAACCGTGTTCCCCTCACAGGTTAGGTATGGAGAGGTTCTCAGATAGGAGAGGTATAACCGTGTACACCTCACAGGTTAGGTATGGAGAAGTTCTCAGGTAGGAGGGGTAAAACAGTGTGCCCCTCACAGGTAAGTTATGAAGAGGTTCTCAGGTAGGAGGGGTAAAACAGTGTACCTCTCACAGGTTGGGTATGAAGAGGTTCTCAGGTAGGAGGGGTAAAACAGTGTACCCCTCACAGATTGGGTATGGAGAATGTGGCGAAATTAACCTCGCCACTGGTTCTTGGAGGGGCCTGTTTGCCAGCCTCCTGCCTCAGGACTATGGGCCATGCAAAGAGGCTCATAAAAGACCTTGTTTGTGCCTTTTTGCTATTCTGTTCGGTAGATTGCATGCCCCTCCTATTTTAACATTGTCCTGTTCAACTACCGAACAACCGCACGAACCAGGGACCACCCAGGAGCTTGTTAACACCTATTAACAACTTGGTACGTTTCTCACCGCAGTGTTCTAATTGTTCGTCTGGGTGGCCGCAATTCCTATGGAAACCACGAAGTGGCGGCCATCTTGTTTGCATGAACGCAGGCAGCGGTGTTTGGGCATGAATCTCATGTAACTAAAATCGGACACAAACTCCCGAACACCGCTGGACCATCATCACCTGCGTTCAGTTCTATACAAGTTAGAAGGGCACTATTCGGTGGGTGTTCGTCTCCCATCCCGGTGACCCGTGATAATTGAACAGGTTAGGGAGATCATTTCCATCGAGAGGGTAAGTGCTTCACAGAATCTAGATGTCCTCTTACTGCACATCATGCATTAAAAAGCATTACAGAACTGTGGATGGCATGAAGGAGAATGATGGAATATGGAGAAACGCTTTATTCATTCTATCAAGGTCCAAGCAGTTGGATATTTATTATAATTCTGGAGCTTAATACAAGAAGCTGAATTTTAAAGTGGCTCTGTGATGACGCACTGCCAGTTCAATTGTCTGCCCATACTATGCAGTGGGAGACAAATACACACAGAATTGCAGATAGGGAAGCTTGCAAGACTAAAGAGAATAGAGTCTATGGAAAAGTGGGTATTATGGGAAAGTTATACTTGATAACTGAAGTAGAAGATTGGTCAAGTGTAGGAAATAGAGATAGACAAAGTAGTCTCACTTTGTTTTAAGTTTCCAAAGCGAAATAGATCAGAAAAGGAGAACAGATTGGAAAAGAGTAAACAATTGAAGAAAGGTAAGTTTGAGATAACAGCTGCTTGTATTCACTAGTGAATGAATAGGTGGGGCAAAATGAAAAAACTCTAGTTATGGTTTTAACAAACAACGTTGATCTTTTGACCAACATTCTATTAGGTGAGCACTAATAGTGATCACAATATAGTGTCCTTTGAAATAAACTCAAAAAAACAAAAGCACATGGGGAATACTAAAACATATAATTTTAAAAAGGCCAATTTCAATAAGTTATGGGAAGCTTTACAATATATTGACTGGCATAAACTCTTTAGTGAAAAGAACACTGAGGATAAATGGATCATCTTCCAACAAATATTACAAAGGTACATTTCTCAGTATGCACCGTTGGGAAATAAATATAAAAGAAACAAATTAAAACAAATGTGGCTTAGTAGAGAAGTAAAACAAGAGATTACAACTAAGAAAAGGGCATTTAAAGCATTTAAATCGGACAAATCAGATGCATCTTATAAAAGATATAAGGATGCAAATAATGCGTGCAAAAAGGCAATTAGACTTGCTAAACTTCAAAATGAAATAATGATAGCTGAAGAGAGCAAAACCAACCCCAAAGCATTTTTTAAGTACATCAATTCTAAAAAAAAACAAAATGAAAGTGTAGGTACACTAAAAACTGAAACGGGGGTGTTAGTTAATGAAGACCAGGAAAAGGCAGGAATTTTAAATAACTATTTCTCCTCCGTATATATTAAGGAAGAACTCATGGCAATAGATGTGCAAATGATTGCTACTAAAAACTTGCAGAATAATTGTAATTGGTTAACTCAAGACAAGGTGCTGCAGCAACTAAAGAAAGTTAATATAAACAAAGCTCCAGGGCCTGACGGTATCCATCCACGTGTACTTAAGGAACTAAGTGCAGAAATAAGTGAACCTCTGTTTTTAATCTTTCAAGATTCTTTTCTTTCAGGAAGTGTTCCGGAGGATTGGAGGAAGGCAGATGTGGTTCCTATATTCAAAAAGGGTTCAAAATCCTTGCCTGGAAATTATAGACCTGTGAGCTTAACTTCTGTGGCTGGTAAAATATTTGAAAGGTTATTAAGGGATAATATTCAAGAATTCCTTGAGAAGAACATGGTTATCAGCAAAAATCAGCATGGTTTTATGAAGCACAGGTCATGTCAAACTAACTTGATTGCGTTCTACGAAGAAGTAAGTAGAAGTATAGATCAGGGTGTTGCCGTGGATGTGATCTATTTGGATTTTGCCAAGGCATTTGATACAGTTCCACACAATAGATTAGTGTTCAAACTCAAGGAAATCGGTCTAGATGAAAATGCTTGTTCTTGGGTAGAACATTGGCTTAAAACAGAGTACAAAGAGTTGTCATTAATGGTAAATTTTCAAGCTGGACAGAGGTGGCAAGTGGTGTCCCTCAGGGGTCTGTTCTGGGACCCCTTCTATTTAACATGTTTATAAATGATCTTGAAGACCACATTGAAAGTCATGTTTCAGTGTTTGCAGATGACACCAAACTTTGTAAAACAATACAATGTGAGCAAGATATTACTTTGCTGCAGAGGGATTTAGATAGACTGGGGGACTGGGCACTCAAATGGCAGATTAAATTTAATGTTGAAAAATGCAAAGTTATGCACTTCGGCGTAAAGAATACACAAGCAACGTATACCCTTAATGGAAGCTAATTAGGGATAACAACACATGAAAAGGACTTGGGAATTGTTATAGACAACAAACTATGCAACAATGTGCAATGTCAATCAGCAGTGGCCAAGGCCAGTAAGGTATTGTCATGCATGAAAAAGGGCATTCATTCTCGGGACAAGAATATCATTTTGTCTCTTTATAAATCACTGGTAAGACCCCATATTGAATATGCTGTGCAATTTTGGGCACCTGTTCTAAAGAAGGATATTATGGCACTAGAAAAAGTGCAGAGGCGGGCTACAAAATTAATAAAAGGAATGGAACATATCGGCTATGAAGAAAGGTTAACAAATTTAAACCTATTTAGTTTAGAAAAACGTCGCCTGAGAGGGATATGATAACATTATACAAATATATTCGGGGCCAATACAAACCATTGTGTGGAAATCTATTCACAAACCGGACTTTACATAGGACACGAGGCCATGCGTTTAGACTGGAAGAAAGAAGATTTCGCCTAAGGCAAAGGAAAGGTTTTTTTTTACTGTAAGAACAATCAGGATGTGGAATTCTCTGCCTGAGGAAGTGGTTTTATCAGAGTCCATACAGATGTTCAAACGGCTACTAGATGCATACTTGCAAGAACAGAATATTCAAGGATATAATCTTCAATGTAGGGTAATAACTGCTTGATCCAAGGATAAATCTGACTGCCATTCTGGGGTCAAGAAGGAATTTTTTTCCTAGCTTGTTGCAAAATTGTGCTTCAAACTGGGTTTTTTTGCCTTCTTTTGGATCAACAGCAAAAAACAAATGTGAAGTAGGCTGAACTTGATGGACGCAAGTCTCTTTTTTGCTATGTAACTATGTGATGGTGGACATAAAATATCCCAGCAAACAGAAAAAAACAGATTCCAGCATGAGCCAAGAGATGTGTCATTAAAGGAACACTATAACCACTGAGATAAAGTGATCTCAGTTTATAGACTTCGGTCCCTGAAGGTGTAGACCTCACTGGAACCACATCCTTGCTGCCTGCTACAGTGAGAGCACACCATATTACCCTAAACATAATACTCCCTCTTCCATTCCATGTCCCTTTATGGGAACATTTTGGAATTTGGGGACAAAACACAGATTGGGACTGTTTACTAAAAGATTAAAATTCTCTGTAACAAAATGCAACTTTATTTCTCTGTAACAAAATGCAACTTTATTTCTCAGTCTCTTTTTCTCCAAAGAGACAAGACTTTGCATCAGTGGGCAACTTTGTTTGGCTTTAGCATTAAAATTTACAGAGCGAGCATGAACTTTACAAACCAGCACTACTTATACAATAGACTCACCTACCGTTGCAGACACATTTCCTTACACCATGCCCCTCCCTGAACTCATCAACAACATACTTCAACAATGGCTGCCATTTCATGGACCGGATTTCTGGTGCACATTATTGTCATATTCAATGCCCATTGGTGAAGCTCTTTCCCTGATTCTAATGGCCGGGGGCCTTCCTTACCATCTCACATATGCTGGGACACACTTTACTATAAAGTACCTGGCCATACACTTGGCCATCACTATACCTTTAAAAAACTGTGCAGCGTTTCACCGCAAAACAAAGTTTAACCCCAGAGCTGTAACTACGCACAGCAGCATCACGGAGGAGTCATTAGCCAGCCTGGAGGACCAAGAGGCTGCTTAATGTCAGTTCTGTGCATACTGGATGTCCTTTGTTAACATAGTCAACCCTCCCCCCATGCTCTTTCTTCAGCTTCCTACATGAAGACTGTGACGAGACCAATCTCGCCACATTGCATTGGAGAAGCCTGGTTGCTCGCCTGCTGCCTTTGGACTATGGCCCCCTTTTTAAAGACTTTATTTTTGCCTGCAGAAAAGCTGTATTCGTGCTTTTCTGCCTGGGGTTCAGTAGATTTGTTTGAATGTGTTATACCCCAGATAGGAATCCCATGGAGCCCATTCGTATGAAACTGACTGTAAAGACTTTGGCTCCATGGCGATTAAACTATATTTGTGTGGTCCGAGCGCCATTCACTTAATAATGTGCGCTCAGACCTGAGCTATCTGGGGATATGTGAAATGTCTGTGTGTTATGTGTAAAATGTAACTTTATGTATTTTAAAGTGTTTTACTGTCTTTGTGTCTTTTTGCAACCATGTGCTTAATGGAGTCTTGTGTCTGTCCTGGAAGGTAATTGAATTACTCTCCAGGATAGAAGACTCTGAAACTGGTTTGGGCCAGAAAGTCATGCTTCATTTAGTCACAAAGGACTTTTTACTAACTTTTGAACCCCTGGTCTGATTCATGCCATTTTTTAATATGTTGTTCCCCTGAATGGATTGATTGTGAATATGTAATTTTATGTGAATGTGATGTATAGTTTTAGAGTTATGAAAGTTGGGTAGAAAGTATGTTTTAACTGTATGTGTAATTGAGTTTCCTCTCAGGATAAGGGGAGGGAATATGTGGGATGTAACTGTGATGTGATTGGTTGTTTTATACCTCCCTGTGGGCGGTCCTGTATTTGCAAGACTGTAATAAAACCAGGCTGGGTGTGCCAGCACCTCAGACCACTGCTTGACCCTCAACACGGAGCCTTGTCTCGTTCTTGGGGGGATTCACTGTATGCTGTTAGAGACTGATTGCCAGGGGTGTAAGCTGTTCGTCTGCTTTTCCTGTTCGTCTGCTAGCAGCTATTTGGGAGGTTCCAGTTCGGGAGTTGGAGTGCTATTTTGTATCCAGTTCGTGAGTTTTGGTGTTCTGCAGTAGCTGTGCCTGGATCTCTGGAAAGGGGGCCGATCGCCTAAACGGTTTTTACCCCTTGTGTGCAAAACGGTCCGTTACAAAGACAAAGATTACAGACCAGATTATTAAAACATAACAGACATCTTAGCTTTATTTCTCCAATAACTGGATAGATTGCATGGCTCGCGCACTACCAGTTCATTTTCCGCTATAATAGCCTAGATGGTATAACACTGCTACTTGCATATTTTTTTTGATTGGCAATTTCAGATTAGTGTTTACATTCATTCAACCCATACAAGTTATGAGTTACTCATCATTTGTGGCAGTAATTTGGAAATAATGGTTTTACCCAGCAAGAATGGCTCCGGGATTGCTTGCGTAAAGTGATCCTCATGAGTTCTGTTCTTCGCTGTAATATCGCTGCTTCATTGCTCTGTACTTTTTAAGATAGTACAATGCTTCAAGCTCCTTTATGACAAATTCTCCGCGACCAATAAGCTCCTTGATCTTTTCAGGATCTGTAACGTCCTTGTTTTTCAAGAACGCTTTTTTAAGTCTCTCTTTAAAGTAACTCTGGCCTTTTGGATATTCCCGTCCGAGGTACAAGAGCTTTCAATATTAAAAAAACAAGAATCATTAAATAAATAAAAGTATGGCTCTGGAAAGAAACAGGAATGATTACATTCTTCCACAAAACAAGAAATAACTCACATTTTTATAAAGCTTCACC